CGGATTAGATGATCTGCTCAGGTCCCTTCCGACCCTAGAAACTATGAAACTATGAAACTATTACCTGTCCCCTGTCCCCTAGTAACCAATGTGAAGGAATGTGTACATCTCTCCATGCGACAGGGCCCCCACAGAGCCATATACCCACAGCACAGTGTACCCTGGCGTCTGGCTCCTGTCTTTCTTTAGCAGGGCTCAGAAATGATTGGCAGCACCCAAAGGAGATATTTCGTTAACACGTAGACCATGCTCTGCAACTGCTGAGCATTGTCCTAACAAAGGAGCCTTCACTGTAATTCCACTTGCTCTCAGAAGGGCCTCAGGCTCTTGGTGTTTTTCCCAGCATCGTCCAGACTGAAACCCTGGGTCGCAGGGGGCGGGTAGGGCCACTGTGCCCCCGGAGCAGCCTGCATTACATCACCGGTGCTAATAAGCTCGGTATGCCTGATACCAGTCCCAGATGAACATCCGCCTGCATTGCAAAACCACTTCAGAGGTTGGCATGGCCAGTGGCTCTGTTACAGGGAGCCGGGCTGGGTGAGCAGGAATGCGCTGCAAGCCAAGACCAGGGCGTGCGCTGGCAAGGTGCTCGGCAAAAATTTGACAGGCTGTGTGCTTAGGAGAGGCCTAGGAGTGGGCTAATATAGGGAACACCCGAGGCCAGGGCTGAGGTGCTTTGGCAGCTCCGCTCACAGGCTGGACCCAGCACAGCAGCTGAAGAGGACGGAGCTGGTGCTCTTTGCAGCCTGGAGCAATGTGCTTGCAGAGAGCATTCACTGTTAAAGCACCACTGCTGCCAAGGGTGGGAGAGACCAGTTGTTTCATGCCCCTCAGTAAGTATAGGGGTATCTCTGATGCCACTTGCCAGGAACTGGGGCAGCTGTTCCCTTTCCACAGCAGCCATGTACTTGCAGCATGGACTCACTCTGGGGCTTCTTCTGCTCTGCTCCATTCAGAGTAGCTAAGGCAGCTGCAGTGCGAGCAGAGAATAGTGTTTGCTGCACGCACACACTCGCCCAGACAGGCCTGTGCACCCAAGGCCAATTCTGGTTTCGCAAGGCTTGCTGAGGGGAGCTGAGCATAGGATTTCGCCCATCCGATGTAGGTATTCACACGTGCTCCCATCTGCACGTTTATGCCCCTACACATATGCATCCCTACGCACAGATCCCTAGATGTGTACACATGCAGATGCACACACAGAGCCCTGTATGCCCATATACATGTGTTCCCACATACCCCTCTACATGCCCACATGCATGTATGCATGCCCTTGTGTACACACACACACACACACAGATTTTCCCTTTCCTTTGCTGCCAGTCCCTAGAAACTGAACCATTTCTTCTGCCCTCCTCCCCCCATCCACTTCACCATCATTTCAGTACAGATATCTTTTTCTCCCTGCCCTCTAGACACCAGCAGCTCTTTCAAGAACAACCCCCTTTGCTTCAAAAAGCCAGAGCTGGGCTCCCACCTGCTTCCCTGGCTGCAGAGCCAAGCAAGAGTTAAAAGGAGTGAAGTTAAGGTGCGCACCGGGCCTGAGTCTGGCCAGCCTGGGTTTCTCTATAGAAGCTAATTGTTGGGGAAAGGCCCAACGCGGGGCCCATTCTGAGCAGGCTCCCCTTGCCAGCACACTTGCTAATTAACTGCTTCCAGACCCAGCAGAAATAAACTTTTTGCTGCTTCATAATAGCCCGGGGGTAGACAATATTAAACATTCAAGCGAGTGAGTTAGGAATAATTATTACCTTGCTGCCTGGGATCAGGGAGGGTTTTGATGGTTTGTTTGCATTGCTTATTTATTTCTTTATCGCTTTACAACTCAATTGGCAATCTGCAAGCTCCGGCAAAAATTAACACCCCTTAAGGCAGCCCCACACCAGCCAGGCAGTTAGATTCTGGTTCCTGCCACTGTTTGAAGCCTCAGTGTCAATAAGCTGCATTGATGCTCTGTCCTGCAGATGGGTTTGTTGCAGCAGAGATCTCCGAGGAGTTGGGAGCGAGTTGGCAGGTCGCTGCCAAGTGCCCGTATCTGTACTTTGTGGATGGGTTGAATGAGGTTATTCAGCACCTCTCGAAGCATGCTCCAGGAATAGCAGGGGGCAAGGATGCAGGGAAGGTGTTGGTAGAGCTGGGAAAGGGGCTGAAAGGATTGGTATAGCTGTGTGGGTTGGTACCACATTGGCAGCCCGGGTCTGGGGTGCAGATCCTCCCTGGCAGAGCTGTGGGTCAGGACCTGGGCTGGACTCATCCTTGCTGTAAGTAAAGCTTGAGGTGCAGAGCAGGAGAGGGTCTGAATGGTAACACTGCAGGCAAAGGAGCAGGGCAGATGGCAAGAGCTGCACAGCAGGGGATGCTGCAAGGAGGGAGCCCAAGCAGCTTGAGAAGGAAATAGCAGGGGGTGGAGGTCAGCATTGAGCTGCATTGACGACTGCACTGGGAGCCCAGGACTGGAATAGCAATGAGTGCTGCAGGGGAAGCTGCCACTCATCAGGAGAGCTGGACTGGAAGAGCAGAGGCTGTTTCAGGGGAGGGCAAAGGCACATTGGCAGAGCCCCTGGGACTGGAGTAGCAGGGGCTGTTTCCAGGTAGAAGCAAAGTCCACAAGACAAGGGAACGGGCTGCGGCATGGAGGGTATGCACAGGTCAGGGTGGTGCCGGTCACGACTGAGATCTAGAACAATAACACATGCTTCAGGTCAGGATCAAGGGAAGCTGCCCCAGGGGGTAACCTTGCAGAGCACACGTCCTCGGCCCTCTGCCTGGATCTAATCAATGCCATTAACTCTTCACCTTTGTGAGCACAGTATTCATGGAGGGACAGAGAGAGAAATAACAGCATCACCTCACCATTTCCTATCATGCAACTAAGTGCACTCTTAAATTTCTACCTTTGTGATTGCCCACTTTGGTCCTCTTGCCTCCTTAAAGGACCCTCCATGCAATAGAAGGGTAACTCACCTGTGCGATGGACATAATTAATGTTCTAGATTCCTTGTAGCATTATATGGGGACCGACAAAGCCCTTCTGCCATCCCCCTCCTGCCTTCTGCTCAGGACCAAATTCTGTGCCCTGAAGTCCTAACGCATCAACTTAGGTGGGGGAAGCCCTGTCTGAGTGGGGAGGCTGTGGCATGAAGCAGAGCGGGGATGGGTTGGGATGGCCTGCATGCCATGGGTGGTGAGGGCATGGCCAGGATGAGCCCATGCAATGAGTGGTATGAGAAGGGATGGGCAGCTCCAGGCTGGTAGGTGCTAGGTGTAGAGAATGGGATGGTCAAGCATGGTTGGCACCATGCTCCGAAGTCATTAAATGGCACAGAGAGACTCCTTGAGGGGTAGTTAATGTCTTGCCATTAAGGGCAGCTCCTTTCTCCTTGCACCAGGTGCCTGGCTACCGGCAGGAGCGGGTAGAGAAGGGCCTGAAGCTCTTTGCCCAGCTCATCAACAACAAGGTGTTCCTGCTGTCCTTCATCCGCACCCTGGAGTCCCAGCGCAGCTTCTCCATGCGGGACCGTGGCAACGTGGCCTCGCTCATCATGACCGTGCTGCAGAGCAAGCTGGAGTACGCCACCGACGTCCTCAAGCAGCTGTTGGCCGACCTCATCGACAAGAACCTGGAGAGCAAAAACCATCCCAAGCTGCTGCTGAGGAGGTGAGTCGCTGCTGGGCTGGAAATCACATAGTGGCATGTGTGCATGCACCACTGTCCCCCATGAGCCAGGGCAGAGGCCATGGTCTCTGCCAGTGGAAAGGGCCCAATTTTGTTCGATCCTGGTCGCGAAGCGGGGTGGAAGGGCAGGACAGTGCAGAGCAGATCTCCCAGTGCCACCAGTGAGTGGTTTTCACTGAAAACTTGGGTCTCCAGGGCAGGACACGGTCTCTGCAGGAGCCATTCACTATGTTCTGGGCTGTCACTGTTTATCTTCATGCATTGGCACCCTGCAAACATCTGTGCCCTTTAAACCACTTTGTTTCTCTTCCTCCCCCTCCCTGTCCCTTTTCCTGTCTTTGCAAGTCTCCTCTTGTCCTTACCTCTGAATTTCCCCACCCCCCGCCGTAACTTGTAGTATCCAGTGGATTTCACTCTTCCCCTGTCTCCAGCCATGCCAGTGATCAGTGATTAAATAATAAATGTTGACGTTGAGCTTGATGCTTTAGCCTGATCCTTTAATCAGGTGGGTAGGGTCAGAGGAGTTTACACCTTGGGGTCAGCACTTCAGGCTTGACTTGCAAACTCAGGCAGCCATCAATGCTTGGCTTACCTTGGGGTCACACCTAGACTGACGTCTCTACAGCCAGGGGAGCTAGAAAGGTGCTTTATGATGAATGGAAAGGTGGAGAAGCTAAATATGTCCCCCTGGCAGAAATATATCAAGAAGTCTGACATTCCTGTGTCAGTGTGCGCATGTGTGTCTGTTTGTGCATAAGCATGTGCTCACCACCATCTTCTGTTGGATGGAGCCAGAACTCCTCTGTGTGTCATAGCCCCTGTAGAGTTGTGGACACACAGAGAGTCTTCCTCAACTCCAGTGATTGGGCTACAGCCCACTGCAGGAGAGGAAGGGTGTGAGTCCTATCCCAGCCATCACTGCTAAAGGCTGAGTGGTCCCATGAGCTGTGTTGCGAACCCTGTATCCGTGGATCTGATAGGCGCTTTCAAGCTGATGTTCCCCTGTGCTGCAGGTGTGAAACTGCTGCACCCACCCACTTGCATGCAGCATTTCTGCGAAAATGGGCGCAGTGAGTAGGGGCAGGAGACTGGGTTGGATCAGTCATGTAAGGGGATCACTTGAATTGATAGGCCCTGCTGCTGCTGCTGTGTCTGGGCAGTGCCTACTCCCCTTTGCCTGGGGAGGTGGGATATGTGCTGTGGAAAGGCACCTCCCAGCTCTTCCCCCCAGCAGCTCTGCACTTGCTTGACTTTTCCCTGTTCAAACCAGGCCATGCACAGGACTCTGTATGCCGTCGTGCAGGGGTAAATGCAGAACAGTTCCACTGGCTTCAGTGGTGGGGCTTCAAAGTTTTTCTAGGGTGACTAGCCCCTGGTGCCCTGGAGAGGCTCTGTGTCCCCTGGGGGCTCTGAGGGAGGTGTGAGCCATGCTGTGAGGGAGGGTTTGACCTGGCCAGCTGTCTGTTGTGGAGCAGCAGGAGAAAGGGGAGTGATTGTAGTCATCTTGCAGCAGCATCCTAGCCTGGCTGGCATCTTCCCACTGCCACCCAGGCAGGCTGGCTGCTGTCTTTGAGTCTCCTGTTCTCACACGGACTCCTTCCCCCTTGGTCTCTCCTCTCACCTCACTCCATCCCTTCTCCCTTTGCTCCTGCTTCTCCTGTCTCCCAAGCTCTCCCTTCTCCTTGTCATCTGAGGGCTTCATTCCCTTTCTCCGTCAACCTAAGCCACCCCCTCCATCCTTGGGGATGGCATTTGGGAACGGGAGCCAGAGCACAGAGGAGCCACCTTCCCAGTGCCAGGCTTGGGAGCACTGGCAGAGGGACTGGGCTGGTTCTTTCTGCAATGGAGGCTGCCGCTGGGCAGAGCCCCATGATGTTCATCCTGAATGCCAGTCCTTGGGGTGGTTCAGCTCTCAAATTATGCTGAGCTGTCTTCGAGGCCCAGCAGCCATAGCAGGTGACCAGCCAACTTCACCTTTTCCACTCCACATGCACAAATGGTGCCCCCAACCCCCTGTTTGGTGATCCCCAATGCCTGGATGTCAGGTCTGGCTCCTTAGCATCAGTCAGAGCAGAGGGAGGTTCCTGCCTTGTAGCTCGCCTCCTCTCACAGCAAGAAATGCTGAGAGCCCTGCACTGCATGGCTCCATACCATCCCTACACTGTGCCCCATGCTTGCAGAGGCTGGATAAGATGGGCTCAGGATGAGCAGTGCTGCATTTGCCTTTGTCGCAGCAGAGCTGAGCTTCTGACATGCTGTGAGCATAGGGCTGGAGATCCTGGGCTGTACAGTGCAGACAGGCCCTGCCCCTAGGTGCCTGCTGCCCTGCAGGTATCAGTCCACATAGGGTAGTGGGGGCTCAGAGCCCTGTGCTGTGTGACCTAAGTTATGCAAAGCGCCCCATGTCCTGTGACCTTTGCACTGTACTAGGCACAGGTTGTACAAGCTCGAGGAGCACCAAGCTGTTGGATGTGCTGGGAACGTGGGTCACATGAGCACCCTGCTGTATGATGGTGATCGATCATGGCCATCTGTGGGGCAACCAGCAAACCCAACTGGTGAAAGGCAGTGTGTGAGCTCCCAGCTGTGGGACCTTCCACTTCACAGGCCATTGGGGTGCAGTGAGTGAGCACTGGGCTGCAGGGCTCTGTGAAGGGGCTGATTGGCAAGGAAGTATCTCTGCATGGAGACTCTTGGGCAGCTGGGAGTGACAGGGATTAGGATGGTACCAAGCTACCATCTGCAGCCCTGTTTTCTGCTTGTATCGTAGGGAATGGATTAAGGATGCACGTAGGTCAGATGGGATTGGGAGTGCAGGCATCAGGTAAATCAGCTCCTCTCACCCCCAGTTTGATCACAAAGTGACTCTGGGAACAGTGAAAGTGTAGTGGAAACAGGGTTCAATCTAAAGCAAGCAGTAGTGGGAAGAAGCAGTCTCCTATTCTCTGCTCCATAGCAGCAGGGCTCTGCTTTGACTGAGACCACTGCCAGAATACAAATGCACAATCAGGCTAGCACAGACCTTGGTCTGCTGTCTTCTCCCTCCAGAGCCAGCAGCCTCGTGCTTATGCACAAGAACCAAGTAGCAAACGCAAATAGACACCGAGTGAAGCTACCACAGCTTGGCCAGGGCATCAGGAAACATCACGAGCAAACAGGATGCATTAGCAGTGACGTGGGAATCCTATCACTCCAGCAAGCTTGGGCCTGTGATGACCAGAGGCTGGAAATGAGCTTTGTTCTTGCCATGTGGAGCCATAGATCCTTGCCTTGGTGCTACAAAGCTTGGCATCACAGGACCATAGGAAAGTAGGGCTGGAAGGGACCTCACGAAGTCACCTGGTGCAGCCCCTGGCTCAAGGATGGATCATCCCTAACTAAACCACTGGCTTATGTCAATGTGACTGGCCCCCAGTTTTGCCTCAGTCCTCACTCAGGCAAAGCTCCCACTGAAGAATCAACATGGGCTTTTGCCTGAGTAAGGACTAAATATTGATGGATTGTGGGCTCAGGCTTTGCCCCACGAGTTTTCCCTTTTATCACCTTCAGTACAGTCAGCAGATATCACCACTGCCCAAAGAATGGTAACCAGTGAATTTCCTTCCATGGGTCGGGCCTGTGCATCTTCTGGCCTTTCCTGCTGTCACACTCACAGCAGCCCTGGGCAACAGGATTGTGCTTTTTCCCTGCTCCTGCAGGTTAGCTGGACTCATTGTAAGCCTGTGGTAGGAGCAGGGATTGGGACTCAGGTGTCCTGTGCACCAGGTCCAAATACCAACCCCACACCCATACCAGCCAGGCCCCCCACACCCAGTATGACCAGACCCTGATGGTCACACCTCATGCCAGGCTTTTGTTGGGGTACAAGAGAGGTGCAGTTGGACCCTGGAGCCTGCCCTGTTGGGCATTTCTGGTATCTCCCTATTTCTGCATGAAATCCAGGATTTATTCACCCCAATATTTAAAAATGTAATTCTTCCCCTTTGAACCCAAAGCAGGATGTCCAAGCACCTCAGTAGAGTGGGAAGAGAATTAACTAGGTTCCTTGAACCACCAGAAAAAGATGTCAAGTCCTCCGATGCCTGGGTAAAGATCTTAGTTGCTTTGGATTTAGCCTGATCTTTGCTTTGCTTTGCTTCTTCCAAGGAACAAACAGTGCCGGTTTTGCCGCCCTAGTGGGACCAACAGGAGCCATCACAAACACTCGTGTTCTGTGCTCATCACCTCTTGCACTTGGCAGTCAAATGCCCCATGAACCTTTGGGCTGAACACCATGACTAACCCATCTCTTCCATGCCCTTTCTCTTCCTGCGGTGATTCTAGGACAGAGTCCGTGGCAGAGAAAATGCTCACCAACTGGTTCACCTTCCTGCTCTACAAGTTCCTCAAGGTAAGAGGAGGTGGCATGTTTGGACTCCAGACTGTGTCTTTCATACACTGTTTTTGGCTCTTAGAGGGTGCCAGTGCTTTTGGACATGCCAGAAAGGAGGGCTGCTGCCATTAAAAGGTCACAGGTCATGACAAGAGGATGTACATGAAGGCAGTTGTTTTCTCCTGGCCCAACAAGCTGGTGTGAGGACAGTCTAGGGATGGAGAAGGTGGCAGCGTGGTGGTGAGGGATGCTGGCAGAGGGTCCAATGGGTTGCTGTTCTATGTGTGGACCATGTGCAGAGATGAGTTTGGGGGACTAGTGTAAGAAGGATGGGGAATCAGCATGCAGGGGGAACTCAGTGCAGCAGGAAGTCCACACTCAGGGACAGAAGAGCCTTTTCTGAGGTGAGGTCGGCCTCCGTCACAGAGAACTCATGATTCCTTTCCTCACTGGAGACTTCCTGGGACCATAGTAGCTGATGAGGTTTCCTTTTACTGAGGTTGTCAAAGCAAACATATACAAAGCCTCTACTGCTCTTTACTGTTCTCTCATACAAGACTTATCTTCTGACCTTCACCTTGGTCATGGACCCTTCAGGTCATAGTGCAAACTATTGATTGTTTGAAGCAAGAGAAGCTCCAAGCAGCATCCTCTTGCAGTGGCCAGAACACAGTGCCGACTTGAGGCTCTCAGGTCTATCTGGGATGAGTCCTCTCTGTTTCCCTTAATGCAGGTATATGTATCCGAAAACTGCCAGCATCATCTTTGCCAGCAGAACAGCCAGAGAGATAGCAGGTTATAGAGACTGGCCCTCATCTTCCACCCATAACAATAGAGCCTCCTGACCAGGCCTGAAGCAGGTTGGCAGGGAGGTGGATGTAACAGGGGACCATTTCCAGGGCAGTCGAGGACTCCTGGCAGTGCCCCAGAGTCCTCTTTATTTCACTCTACTTTTGGGAACAGTCTCCCCTTCTCTCTCCTGCCACACCTTGATGTTTATTTTGGTTCTCAAAAGGGATATTGCCCCAGGGGTTCCCAGATCGGGTCTTCACTCCAGAGCACCCAGAGGTGAGGAGCTCCTGCCTTTTTGGCTAATTGCGTGCCTACATACCATCCCTACACTGTGCCCCATGCCTCGCAGGAGTTATATGAGTATTATTCCCTCTGTTGGGGTCTCAGCCAACTCTGCCTCTGCCCCTTTAATGGAGATAAGCTATCTAGCCTAGACCCACTGTGTCAGGCTCGGGTTTGAGGCAATGGCTCTAATTCAGGGATGGGCAAAGTTCGGCCCACAGCCCGGATCTGGTTGGCAGTGGACTCCCATTTCTCAGCCGCCCCTGTGCATGGCTGGGGTTGGTCTCCTTGGAGCCCCCAGCCACAGCTGCATGGGAAAGCTCAAGACTGGAATTGCCATGGAGACCAGCTGCAGCCGTGCAGCATAGCAGGGCAGGGGGCTGCTCCGGAGCCACTGGGGTCTTGCAATGGGGGCAGCTTGCTCCAGAACCAGGGCAGAGCCATGATCTACAGCCTGTATGCTCTGGGCAGGGGTGCGCAGGAAAGAGGTCATGGCTCTGGCCCTGCTCCAGACCAGGCTGTGACCACTGCAAGGAGCTGGGGCAGAGTGGTGATCCCCTGCTTTTGCACCGCTGCCCGGAGTGTGCAGGCTACAGATCACAGCTCTGCCCTGGCTTTGGATCAAGCTGCCCCCATCGCAAGATCCCAGTGGCTCTGGAGACGACCCTGTCCCTCCTTTGCAGTGCGCACTTCCAGCCCGGCTGTGGCTGGTCTCCATTGCAACCGTAGCCAGAGCTTTCCCGTGCAGCTGTGGCTGGGGTCTCCATGGAGACCAGCCCCAGCCATGCGGGCAGGGGCTGCTGGGAAATGGAGTCCAGCTGCCAGCCAGATAAGCCATTTTGCCCACCCCTACTCTAATCAATCTCCTCCCACCTCCGTGGCCCTGGCCCCATGTAGCTGTGCCCCTCTGGCACTGGGCTCTCTGGCTCTGTAAGTGTCCCCCTCTAGCCGCTAATGAGGTCTCCACCTCCCCTTATAGCCTCATATCATACCCACCGGGTTAAACTACAACATAACACTAAGCCTCTGGGCTATAACAAAGTAAAGATAATAGAAGCAGCATGCCTGCCTACCCCGGGCTTCTTCACTCTAGGTGCTGTGTCCTGTACCCTGGCCAGAAGAGCTGTTTTCTTCCAGGCTCTGGGGCCTTCAGGAGCCCCACACTCTGCCTCCACCTGGGCTGGCTGCCTCCCAACCCAGGGCTTATGTAGCTCTGGCCTTAGCTCTCCCCTGGCCAGCTGCAGGGATTCCCTTAACCCCTATTCTGCTACCAGGTTGTGCCCTGAAAACTGTAGCCTTAATGGGGCCACTCAGCTTTCTAGTAACAGAGCTAGGGCTCTCTGTTATGCACCTCTGCCCCTTGTCTTTTGTCTGGGGTTTTTTCTTCCTCTCCAAACCTTCCTCTTCCTCCTATTGTTATGAGAAGTCAGCACTCACATTTCGGGTCTTTGGACTGTGTTCCACTACAAAACAGTACAGCTGAAGACTGAGAGCCCACCTCATTAGCCTTGGATTGTCTGTCTTCATGCTCTGCAGCCATTGCAGCGGGGCATGTTCAGCGGTTAAGATGAATTTACGCCCCTGCAAATAGTATCAAAGTGTTTCTACCACCCGTTTGATCACCAGAAACTCCTTCTCTGCAGTGGCATAGTTCTTTTCAGGGGGGCGTAATTTTCTACTTATATCAGCGAGCGGGTGTTCCTCATCTCCATCCTTTCGAACTAACACTGTACCAATGGCTGTGTTTGATGAGTCCATCTGTACCATGAATCCAGTGTATACAGCAGCGGGGGCTGACAGAGTGCTTCTTTCACCTCCTGAAACGCTCTTTCCACCTCAGGTGTCCAAATCACCTTGGTTGGGGCTCTGGCCCATATTAGCTCTGTCAGGGGCACCACTCATAGCTGGGCCATCTAGCTTAGACCCACTGTGTCAGGCTCGGCTTTGCGGCACTGGCTGTAATCAATCTCCTCCCTAGTTGTGCCTCTCTGGAGCTGGGCTCTCCAGCCCTGTAGCTTGTGCCCTTCTGGGGACTAATGAGGCCTCCACCTCCCCTTATAGCCTCATCCCAAAACCACCTGGTTAAACTACAACATAACGCTAATCCCCTGAGCTATAACAAAGTGAAAATAATAGAGACAGCGTGCCTGCCTCTGGGGCCTTCAGGAGTTCACAGGGCTTCGGCCGCTGGCTCAGCCCAGGGCTCAACCCAGGATAGTATTCCAGCCTTGACTCCCATGCAGGGGTTTCCAAACCAGTGCTGACTTCTGCTCATATTAAACCTAACTGGGAACTCTCCATGCATCAGCTAGACCACCAGAGCTTCACAACTCATGCCCAGCTAGTAGAGAGCTAAGCCTTGCTGCCATGCCTGGCCAGACTAAAGACTAGGCATCTAGCTGGCCCTGTGTCTGCTGAGCTCCTCAGAGCCCCAGTTCTCTTAGCAGGAAAGTTTTGAAGGTCCCTGGAAGGTAATTTCAGTGGCTTCTCGTATCAGCTTCCCATTCTCAGCTGAAAGGCGGGGATAGAAGGAGGTGACTTGCTAAAGCTCTGCTTTTGTAATACGCTTTTTTCCCTCACTCAGCTTCTTGTCTTCCTGCCTTAGCCCGAACCCAGGCCTGATAAGGGCAATAGACAGGCACACGGAAGCAATATGCTGCTGGCAGATAAGCTAATTAAGTGGCAGACAGGTGTAGGAACAGAGAAAGGGGCCACTTTCCTTCAGATTATTAACTTGTTTTCTCCAGGATTTACACCAGAGGCAAATGACCTCGCTCATTGACTGGGGACAAATTGCTCGAAGGGAGGGGAAGTGCCGCAGAAGGATGGGAGGATGGCAGGATGGAAGCAGAAGAGAGGAAAGCCAAGGAAGAGACTGAGCAAGTTGGGGAGGGGCAACGCAAAAGCAGGGAGGGGAGGAAGGACAAATGGAAAAGGGAGAATGGGGTGAAAAGGAAGAGGAGTGCTGTGTCACCACCAGGCAGGGGTCGTTATCCCTCTGAGGCTGTGCCTGTGCATATGCTAATTTTCCAGCTTGCTGTCCCTGCATTCATCTGCCTCCATGGTTGTATGGGAAAGGAAATTCCTTGTGCTGATCTCCCTACTGGGCCATGGTTGCCAGCCCTGGGGATGCCCAGGAGCAGGAGCGCTGACACCTAGTGCCAGCAGGGCTGCCCTTTCCATGGCAGAGAGGCCCAAAGCTTCCCAATGATTTGTCTGGCCAGCCCAAAACCAGCACTGCACTGCCTTGGTCTGCCCTGGCCCCAGCTCCCAGAGAGGTGGCCCTGAGCAGTGACCTTCTGTTAGGACTGCAGAGAAGGACCTGGGGGTTACAGTGGACCACAAGCTGAATATGAGCTAACAGCATCTCTCATTGCAAAGAAAGGCAACAGCATCCTGGGCTGTATTAACAGGAGTGTCACCTGCAAATCAAGGGAAGGGATTCTTTTGCTGTTTGGCACTGGTGAGGTCTCACCTATGTCCAGTTTTGGGCCCCACACATCAAGAAGGATATG